ACGGCATACTGCCTATTGATCTGTAGTTCAAACTTACTAAATCCGTACTTACTAAAGCATCGGAGAGCCTTCGGCCAGTACCACACCGGTGCCCTAGGATTTACCGAGTGTTTGCTATCTTACAGATCGCACACCCTACCGAGGACATCAGATACCGAAGAGACTAAATCACTAAGTTGCGCGGGAAAGTGCCGAACTATTTTTCTGCGTCAACAATATCTATTTACATATGCATGTGGATAAGGCCAGCCTCGACAAAGTAAGATCCTCTGCTTGTGTGCTTTGGTGTTTATTTCGTGCTATTGAACCAGGTCATTTTGGACTTAAGGCTCTAGCAGTTTGGGGTTTAATATATTTAGAGTTTATATTACGAAATAGGCTTACAATTAACAAAAAAAATGTAACGGAGGACCAACACTTCTAATAAAAATGGAGTTGAGGGACTCCAAAAGCCATTTTACGAATTCAAAGGCTGAAATAGGGCACAAGTTCATGAACTATTACTACAATTAGGCCCTATGAAATATATTCATGAAAGTTTAAAATGACTATGTTCACCTGTTTGGATTTAGTCCTGTGATGGTCAGGTAAAGTTCCTCATTGGTTTGAGAACCATTTGTGGTCAACAAGTCAATTTTCTTTGGTGTGCGAGCGTGCCACTGTTAGTAGTTAAAAAACCCTAACAGAATTTATGAAAAATAGACAACTTGTGCCCCAAGTTACTGACTTTAAACAAGTGATTGTGAATTTGGGTGATGAATATCTCCCAAGTAAGTTCTTTTCTTGCCTCAGACTGGTGAGAACTTCACAATTTATTACAGTAAACTAGTAGTTCTGACAAAAATGAATGAATCGGGTTGTTTTAAGGAAAACTGTCTGTTATGTAACTTTAAAACAAAAGAGAACTGCCATGTCTGAAAGGACAACATAACATTGGGCTTCGATTTCTGCTTAGATTGTTGCATGTGACTTAGGCTGGACTAGATGTATTTATACTGGATTCAAACGTCGGCCCCTTCAACTGAAAAGTTTCAGCTGGAAATCAATACCAATGTTAAGATTGACATAGGTTTAATCTATTCTAGCCATGGGGAGGTTTGCTGGATGGGCAGAATTGAGATTTTTTCAGTCTGGACAGGGTTGGAAGTGGCTGGATTGACGATTGCTGACCTGGAGATGCACTACAGTACCTGTTTTTCTAGATTATAAATCATCCAAAAACTAGTCTGGCAATTATGAGAGACCAAGGCATCTCTGTAAAGTTGTTGATGTTTTCATATTATGAAAGTTTCACTCCAATCAACAATTTAATTTGGCTAGGTTTTACAGGATCAGTTTCTCATGCTTTAGCTTGCCAACCCAACCAAAAACACATCGTCGTCCAATCACAGCAAGAAAAAGCTCGTCCTAATCTTCCTTCTCTCTATCACTCTCATTCTTGCCTCTACCGTCTCCATCATTCTCCTCTAGGCGTCCACTCAAAGGCTTCCCCCAATTATAAGGCCACCAAAGCCATCTCCAATATACCTAATTCGTTTGGGTCGTGGAGGAGAGAGAGAGAGATATATATATATATATATATATATAACATAGGGAGAATAGGTCGTGGGTTGGGTTTGCAGGTTGGGACTCGGGCATGGGTTATAGGTGGGGATTTGGGTGATCGATGTTGTGTCGGATTCAACTGCATCCTTAACTTGTGATACTAGCAAGTGCACGAGCCGTTCAATAGTATAGCTTATGTAAGTGCAAGGTCCGATCCCATGAGGATTGATAATAGATTGATTCAATTGGATTCCCTGTACAAAACATAAAACAAACAAAAAAGAACGGAAAACAAGAAAGAAAGAAAAGAAATAAATCAACCAAATAAGTTAACAAGTTCAATTTTGATTGTCAGATTGATTCTAGCTAAAGTATGATTAAGCTGTGGTGTCTGGTCTTAACCTTGTATTCCTAATTCCCTAATTAGATCCTTTGTTATTGATTTGTTGCAGTAAGGATTTGTTGCAGCAACTATGCAATATGTCTTCTGTTTTTAAGAGTGTATTTGTGAGCACAAATGGTACAACGAGATTGAGCGAGTGCTAAATTATTTTGGTGATGGATTTGCACCATTCTTTTGTTGGATGACCATGTCTGATATGGGGCATATTATTGCCACAAGTTATAATGTGGTTTTATTCCTTCTAAACATGCATCAATGCCTTACATTTCTTCCCTTCTCAATTCAATCAAGCGAAACCAAGCTACATGAGATTGCCATTGGTTTTGTTGATGATAATCACTATGTCCAGGTATGAATTTATTTGTTTACGCTACATAGTTTAATATTATATGCTATGCGTGTATTAATGAATTCTTGTTTTGTAGGTTCTTTTGTCTCCAAATCATCCTATTCCATCAATTTCTAGAATGTGGCATGAACAAAGTGACATATGCAATGTAACACATTTGTACTCGAGGACCAAGTGCGTGTGGATGCATTTCAACAACTTCCGAGAGTGGAGAATGTAGCTATTACAAATACGGTCATCCTATTGATTGACGAAAATGCACCCACTACACAATTGAGATTATAAATCTAATAATTCTATTTATTTTCTTATATTCTTTTTTTTCTTTTTTTTGTGGGACAAACTTCATAAGGTCGAGATGATAAAGCCTCAAGGGTACCTCTGCGAATCCTCTTCATATCTAAAAAACAACATTAAGTACAAACTTATTAGTAACGAATTCGGTAGATGATCACTGAAACAAGAAACGAATTCAGTAGACTACTACTGAAAAAAGGAAACAAATTCGGTGGACTACCACTGAAAAACTGAAATAGATTCGGTGGACTACCATTGAAAAAAGGAAATACATTCGGTGGACATCCACTGAAAAACATAAATAAATTCAGTAGACTACCACTGAAACAAGGTAACGATTTCGGTGGTAACCCACCGAAAGTAACATCTATTTTCGTAAAAACCAGGTTCAAATTCAGTGGACTTACCACTGAAACAATGCAACGATTTTGGTGGTAACCCACCTAAAGTAACATCTACTTTCGTAAAACCAGGTTCGAACCACACATCCACAAAGTTGAAATCAAAATTGAAATCAAACCTTGGCTTTTCAAAATTAAAATCAAACCTTAGCTTAATCAACACTCAAACATAAATATAGAGATCAAAATTGAAATCAAACATTGGATTTTCGGAGGATTTTAAGGTCATATGGGTTTGTGATGGGGGTGAGATTGCCTAGCTGCGATGGGGTGAGGCAATTGGGGTTGGGGTGTGCGATTTGTTGCAAATCGAATGGGGTGTGCGATGGGGTGCGTTTGAAATGCTAGGGGGTTTGGGATGAGGTCTGTCTGCAAGAGGAGAGAGTTTTCGATGGGGTGGGGTTTGAAGTGAGATGAGATTTACACAAGTAAGTTAAGGAATGAGGTTCATGAGGGCAATTTAAGAAGAAAAATGAGGTGTATTGAGTAATTTTAAATTTTATTAAAATTTAGTGAGGTGTAAAGAGAATGTGAGGTGCAAAGAACAAATATTGAGGTGCGAATAAAATGCACAGGCCTGTGCCAAGGGCCAGTGAAAATAAAAGAAAAAGATAAAGAAGATTTACCGTAGAAACAGAAACATTGCATGCACCGTTTAAAATTAAAGATCTCCGAAAGCAAATTCCCTTTGCTTTGAAAAACCGTTTGGCAAAATCCTATGTCTCTACACAGCTTCAAAGAAGCCCTTAAACCCTGCAGAAACTCATCATCCTTAACCTCCTCAACAATCCAATCACAGTCGTCACTCACCCAAACCTTAGAAGACCCCACAATCCCTAGAAAGCCCCCGAAATCCTCTTTGTCTCAGCAGCTTCTGAGACTCCAAGATCCTCTGTCTCTGCCCCCAATTCAACCACAGAGCCAACCCAAACAAACCCACGACCAGAACGGCAAGGAGGATGAGAATGAAGAAAAAGACGACGACCCAGAATCACTGGATTATGAGAAGCCTAAAGTGGGTTTGTTTGAGTTTGATCGCATAGGACCATATGAACCGTTGGTTTTGTCCTCAGAGGGAGAATTTCCTGTTATACAGGTATTTTACATGCTTATAAATTTCCTTTGAACTTTAACGACACATTTGCATGTGTATGTGTCGCGTAATTTCGTACTGGCAGGATATAGTTGATGTATCTCTAGTTTTTCTTTGTATTAATGGTATCAGAAGATTATTATTTCTTTAGCTTGCACAATGTAAGCGTTCGGTATAAGGAACGTAAAGGGAAAAAAATTTATTAGAGAGAGAGAGAGTTTCGACCCGTGTTTGAAATTTAAAAGCAAATGTGATAGTAAAAATTAATTAGGTGCATTATTGGAGGTGGGAATAGTAAAGGATTGTTGTTCTTATATTGTGTACGTGAAAGAGCATTTTGGTTAATTAGTAATTTGTACAAATCTAACATCATCTTTTAATCCAAGATTGATTATTATTTGACCCTTTCCTTCTTTCTTAGTTCCAAAATTGTGTGACAGACAGAGCAGTATGGTCATTATGTAACATTACCAGCTTGAAGTTGTTTGTTTTGAAGTGAATGAGATCGAAAGGAAAATAGTAATGAAGAGTGATGGAATACATCAGAAAGGATTACGATTTTCCTTAATGATTTGTCATTTTATGGTCTGTTAACTGATTTAGGTCACTTTGTTGAGACAGTAATTGGATGACACTACTGTATACTTGTATCTTTGTCATCAATTAGGGATCTGTAAGAAAGCATGAATGAATGATTTTCATCTTTTTGGCACAGTTGAAGTGCCATTGATGTAGCTTTGGGTCTTTACAAGAGGTTGGGATAAGTTGCTTGAAATCATATTTTATGAAAGGGTTTGCATGAAGGAGATATGAAAATTGTTGGAATTGTTTTATAGGTGTTGTTATCACTTCTTTTTATGGTTGCAGGTTCCGGCATCCATTAACTGCAGATTGCTTGAACATCAGAGAGAGGGAGTGGAGTTTCTATATAATCTGTACAAGAACAACCATGGAGGTATTCTTGGTGATGACATGTAAGTTTATCCTCAACTTTATCTAATATAGTTCTTAAAGTTTTGACTTTCTTCGTATTACTTTTTGTTGTGTCCTCTGGACTCTTTTTTTCTTTTCCTTTTCTTTGTCATTGGATTCAATTGCTTTGGAATTTAATTCTGAGAATTTTCCCTTCCATTCAATGCTATGATTGATTTAGTGGAAAATGGAATGATTGGTTTCAGAGACATGTCTCCAACAGAGTTTACTATGCATTGTTCAAACTGTACATAAGCACCTGATCTATCAGACTGTGAACCAAAGATACATGTTTGTACTCAACTTAAGAATGCACTAACTTGGACAGGAGTGCTAGGGCAAAAATTTGGTTGTGGAATTTTTTCTTTAAATGAACTGGATGAATTCATGATTGTTTCTAGGAATAACCTTGAGAAGCCTGATCATTTGCAATGAGGAACTCTTATAGTATTTGTTCGTAGCATTGGCACTCAGGATTTAATTTGCAAGGAAGGTAGCTGCCACTCTCCTAGAAAATATCTTCTGACAGCAAGAAAGAAAAGGAGGCAAAGTTAATCTTCCATCTTCTTGAAGTAGAAAATTTGACAGTTTTTCTAGTGCATATATAATGTGAAATATCTTCTGACAGCAAGAAAGAAAAGGAGGCAAAGTTAATCTTCCATCTTCTTGAAGTAGAAAATTTGACAGTTTTTCTAGTGCATATATAATGTGAACGTTCTAAGAGTCAAGTAAATGGTGGGACCTCCTTCCGGGAACTCCGATTAACTTATCATGAGGATGGTTTTGCCCTTATACAATGTGAACGTTTCCTTGTGTTTTTCGGTTGTTATATTGTAAACTGCTTATTACAATGATTCCTTTTCTTTCTTCTGTTATTTATAAATGCTTATTGTAAAAGGATGTTTTGTTTGTCTTACCTTGCTAGACAGTCTACAGTATCATGTTGTCAGCTTGTCAATTTGGACCATGTTGAACAGATTGACAGTCTGACAAGAGAGCATTACCTACACAGATACACACACTCACACTTTGAAGTTCCTAGTGGGTAAGTTCTTTATATTTCTTGCACGTCGAACAGGGGACTAGGAAAAACCATCCAAACTATTGCATTCTTGGCTGCTGTGTTTGGGAACGATGGGGATTGTATGGACTCCACATTACTGAAGAAGAATCAGACAGCAGAAAGAGGCCCTGTTCTCATAGTTTGCCCTTCTTCAGTTATCCACAATTGGGAGAGTGAATTCTCTAAGTGGGCTAACTTTAGTGTTGCTGTTTACCATGGTGCAAATCGTGATTTGGTTTATGATAAGTTAGAAGCGCATGAAGTTGAGATCCTTATCACAAGCTTTGACACATACAGGATTTGTGGCAGCCAGTTGTCAGAGGTCAATTGGGAGATTGTGATTGTTGATGAGGCACATCGGCTTAAGAATGAAAAATCAAAGCTCTATATCGCATGTTTAGAATTTAAAACCTTAAAACGTATTGGCCTTACTGGAACTGTAATGCAGAACAAAATCATGGAACTTTTTAATCTCTTTGATTGGGTTGCACCTGGATCCTTGGGAACACGGGAACATTTTCGAGAGTTTTACGATGAACCCCTCAAGCATGGCCAAAGGTCAACTGCCCCAGAAAGATTTGTTCGTGTTGCTGATGAGCGAAAACAACACCTAGTGGCACTTCTTCATAAATATATGTTAAGAAGGACAAAAGAGGAAACCATTGGGCATCTTATGATGGGGAAGGAAGATAATGTCATATTCTGTGCTATGAGCGAATTGCAAAAACGGGTGTATAGAAGAATGTTACAGCTACCGGACATTCAATGCCTAATAAATAAGGACCTCCCATGTAGTTGTGGCAGCCCTCTTACCCAAGCTGAATGCTGCAAAAGGACTGTCCCGGATGGGAAAATTTGGCCATATCTTCACAAGGAGAACCCTGATGGATGTGATTCATGCCCCTTTTGCATTGTCCTTCCTTGCCTTATCAAGCTCCAACAGGTAAGTTATATTTCAAGTTTTTATAACTTTTAGCACTGCAATCCTTTTGCTAAATTAGGAATGAATTTTCTTTCTTTTGTAGAAGCTCTTTTTCCTTCGTAAGTTTGTAACTGTTGACGTTATAGTTTCTTTGAGGGAAGAGTTGGAAGAAAGCTATTCGTCTTTCCATTGGGTATAGCATGAATTTAAGGTGGTGTAGAGGCAGGTCTTACATGGTTATTTTAGTCTCCAATCATCAAATATTCTTAATATAAGATTGAAAAATATGAATCAGAAAACAAAATTACCTAGAAGAAAGGCATCATATGTCTTTAAAATCAAACAAACGTCGAATTCATTATATTTTTCAATACAATGTGTTTTCAGTATTCACACTTTCTGTGCATTATTTTTTACCTAAAAGAAAAAGTTATTGACTTGATGGAAATCTCAAGCCTCAGATTCCTCCCAGAAAATTGGTTGCCTAGAGTTTCGAGCGCATCAGGAATTTAGGTTTGGCATTGTATTTTGGATTGTTATGGTGTTTGATTACTTGATATTGAATGAAATCAAACTTTGTTTTAATAGTAGAACACCATCTTCTATAATTTGTTTTATATTTTTTAGCGTTCTTTGTTATTATCTGTTTTAACTCATTGAATCCTGTGTGTCTACCATGTATAAGAGGCACATATTCCTTATGCAAGATAAGAAGACATGAGGTATGTTCCTCTTGAATTCCTGGTACCTTGAGACGTCTAGAGCAGCCATGTACTTAAAGAATCCAGAACCTTCAAAAGCAGTGTTTACATGGAATATATTAGAACTCAGTCTAGAGAGAGAGAGAGAGATGAATTTTTGTATTTTACATTGCTTTTCATAATTTTACTGGATTGGTATTTGTTTGTATTTATATTTTGAAGATACTTTACAGATAAGTAATCACTTGGAGCTGATTAAGCCTAATCCGAAGGATGACCCAGATAAGCAAAAGAAAGATGCAGAGTTTGCCTCCGCTGTGTTTGGCACAGATATTAATCTGGTAGGAGGGAACACCCAGAATGAGAGTTTTATGGGCCTGAGTGATGTTAAACATTGTGGCAAAATGCGAGCGCTTGAAAAGTTCTTGTTCTCGTGGATTTCATGCGGTGACAAAGTTCTGTTGTTCAGCTACTCTGTCAGGTGATGCACTGTAGTTCTCTTTTCTTCTTTGTCTTCTGTCAGGGTTACAAACTGTAATTAATTTATTCAAAATGTTCTGTTGAACAGATTTTCATTTGTGGAGGTTTTGACCAAGCACAAAATAATTTGAGCTCTTAACTGAAGATTATATAACATAAGCTTTATCACTGATTCTGGAAACAAATGAATACATGAAGACTTTTTGTGTAATACAGTCAAGATGGTCTCGGACTGAATATTTTCTGTGTCAATGAATTGTCTGTGCATATGTTTTCTTCTTTAGGTTCTCTTAGGATCTTTTTTTCTCCTGAACTAGAATTTCTTCTTGCAGGATGCTGGACATACTGGAAAAATTTCTTATACGTAAAGGCTATTGCTTCTCAAGACTTGATGGTTCTACACCAACCAACTTGCGCCAGTCTATTGTTGATGACTTTAACTCAAGTCCAAGCAAACAGGTATGTTTTAAATCAAATATGACAACAGAAGTTCGTGCTTAAATTCTCTTTGACAGTGGTTTGTTGCCGTAGGTCTTCCTTATATCAACTCGAGCTGGTGGGCTTGGATTGAATCTTGTCAGCGCAAATCGTGTGGTGATATTTGATCCAAGTTGGAATCCTGCCCAAGATTTACAGGCCCAGGACAGGTCATTTCGTTTCGGGCAGAAGCGGCATGTTGTGGTTTTCCGCTTTCTTTCTGCTGGCTCCCTTGATGAACTTGTTTATTCACGTCAGGTGTACAAACAGCAGCTATCCAACATTGCTGTTTCTGGAAAAATGGAAAAGAGATATTTTGAAGGTGTTCAGGTAGATAAACTGATCTTTTTTTGCTTTTCATTTGTTCTGGAACTTTGCTATTGACATTCAACTACAAGATATTTGTACTTCACTTAATTGGGTTATTTCAGGATTGCAAAGAATTTCAAGGGGAGCTTTTCGGAATTTGCAATTTATTTCGTGACCTTTCAGATAAGGTCTTTACCAGCGAAATATTTGAGTTGCATGAGAAGGATGGACAAATAGAAGGGTATGGTATAAGACAACAATCAACCGATGTTGGAAGCAATAGTGTTTCATTAAAAGAAGTTGGTGTTACATCCTTATCGTTGTCTGAGACCAGAACAACCAGTAATTCTAAGAAGGGTTTAACAAGTCAACCTGTGCTCAAGGATGTGGGTAAGTTTGATTTCTGAATTAGAGTTATGGTCTCCTGTTACTCTTTCTTTGCATTTTTCATCATTGTGCTTTCTTATCTTTTTCTTCTTAGAATTGTTGGATTGGCATAGTTATATTTATGTACAACTTCCTTGCGCTCATTGTGGACTTCAAATTTCTGTAATTTTGAAGAAAAAAGAGAGTAAATTTGTAGTCATTATATAACCCTGTTTTTTAAGTCCAAGGCATGACAGTTTTGGGCAATCATTTCATGCTCAGCAGCAAGGAATTTTTTTTAGGTACAAATATGATGAAGGCATTTATAGAAGCTCCTAATTAGATTTGTGCTGTGCACAGTGAACCACTGGCTTCAAGGAGAATAGATATACTGAAAACAACCTGTGCCAGTGGTGCGACATTGAAATCAATATATGAGTCTTTAAGTTAGCGAAGATGTGGCAGCCTTGTCAGCAAACATTGCCAAGAAAATAATAATAATATGTATAAAAATTTGAATGTGGCCGAGTAATTGAGATTGAGTTGAACCACAAAGAATGAACAATTAAGGGTAAAACTGAATAGAGGGATAGAGACTAAAATTGGGTCATAACCAAATTGTCGGCCTGTTGAAGTAATAGGATTAAATATTAGGTATGTAATGGTTTTTCAATTAACAGGTTTAATATTTGCTAGGATATTGGGAAGCGGAGAATGTGGTTCGCTTTAATATATTTTATTCTTTTTTATATTACTCTTTTGGAAGAAAAATGAAATGTCTTTGACTCCTTAGGTGTCGTGTATGCGCACCGCAATGAAGACATCCTGAATTATGGACCTGGAGGTCAAGGGGCGATTGAAATGATCCCTCAGAACAATGGTATCATGGACCCATACATTCGTGTTGCCCGGAGAAAGAGACTAGATGGTATAGTTGGAAAGGAGAATTTTCCTTCATGCAAGGATCAGAAAAGGATTCAGTATAGCCTCCTTTCTATGTTCATGGGTTTGGGAGAGCTAGAGTTCAGCAAGTGGGTAATATCTGCCACTCCTATGGAGAGGGAGACAGTGCTTCGGGACTTCAAGAAGCGAAAGAAGAAGATACATGATGGTTGAAGCATTATCTTCGAAGTTGTACAAAACTAAACAGATGTGCTCATTGTACAAATTTATATCTCCATGATTTGTCAATAGAAATTGCTCTGTATCTTCAATAACTTACTTAGACCTTTGTATATGAATCTGTGGTACCAAAAGGCTACCACTCTTGACCGATCTTTGATGTAATATTGTCCTACATTTTCCCACTAATTTTAGCTCTGGCAAAGGTGTAATAGTTTAGCCTATTTTCTTTGAGTTGAGAAACATGGAAGACTAGATGGATTTCTATTTCCTTTTTATATGCTACTGCTTATACCGTGGCTACTACTGGAAAGGGACTTGAACACATTGACTGTCGGCTTAAGACTCCTTTTACTAGCCGGAGGATTTTTGTCTGTAGAGATTCGCAAATTCTCATGAAAATACTTTACGTTCTATTCTTGTTTGCATACTGAAGCATTTAGATCAACAGTTGATCCCAAACTGTTAAATTCTAAATTTTTGGTATTCCTTGTTTGAATCAAGATATTCAAAACTAAACAATTGAAAGTTTTACGAATGAAGCAATATTTAGGATGAAAATGCTAAAGCAGAGGGTTTATACATGACAATAAACATGAGTATTTCAGTATATTATGATTCTAATAGAAACCCAATTGAAAAGTAAACGGCGTTAAACAATAAACTAAACAAAACTTCAATCTCATTGTGCATTGTATGAATAAAAAATTTGAGTTGAAGTTACGCTATTACCGTGGCTCCAGGCATGAATATAATGTGTAAACTTTTAATGAAGTTTTCTTGGTATATACTCAATCTTAGACATAGTCTTATAAAGAAACCTTGTATCATTTAAAAACTATAAACACACCCAAATAGCTATTTTTTTTTTTTCAGTTTATTTGTGTGTAAAATACCTATATTGCCCTTGTATTATGGATTTGAGAGAGAAAAATAAGATCTGCCAACTGTTCATTTTGATATTAATATTAAATTGCCAAAAAACCAAATCATATTCATTTTCTCCTTTCTCGCTGGTGCTTTCTTGGTGTTGGAGCAAGATGAGCTTCAATTGAAGCTTAGTCTCAGATTCTTCATCTTTGATCTACAATTTTCAATATTTCACCTTCGATTTCTTATTCTAAAATCGTGCTTCTATTCCTTTTTTTTTTTTTGGATTGTACGGAACCTCGATCAGATGCTCATAGCTCTACTCCTTATCTTCGAGCTCTACTCATCTTTTGCCATGTCATCGTCATTTGGTTTGGACTTGAGATTTTTTATCTTTTGCTTTAATTATGTGTTTCTTTTTGGATTTTAGTTGATTTTCGAAATGTATTTTAAGTTTTGATGATCGATTTATCTTTTGTTACTATTTAAGTTATGGATCTCATTTTTGTTTAACAATGTACTTGTATGACAAAGTATTAACAAGATAGATCTATGACAAAGTATTAATAATGTACTTCTATGATAGAGTATTAACAATGTACTTCTATGACATAGTAGTATTAACAAGATAGTTCTATGACATAGTATCAACAATGCAATTCTATGACATAGTATTAACAATGTACTTCTATGAAGAGCCTTTGCTTGGTTTTTGCGAATTTTTTTTTTTATAAATAAATTGTTTGGCTTTTTAAAAAAAATCTAGGCTTAGCTTGTTTTGAGTTGGTCTGGTTTGTTCTTTCTTTATCCTTTCTTTGGTAGACATGCGTTAGAAGTAGCAATATGATATACATTAATCAACATGACAGTAAACTAGTAGTGTTATTACTCTGGATTGGAACATTACAGGGGTGGATATGCATTAGAAAATAGAATGCCATATAAAACTAGCAGTGTTATTATCTTAGACTGTAACATTACAGGAGTAGACATGCATTAGAAATAGGATGTCATAGGAAACTAGTAGTGTTATTACCTTAGATTGGAACTGTTCACCAGTTTTGTGTTTGCTCCTGTGATGGAAGTGTAAAGTTCCACATTGGCTTGTGTTGAGGCCCAAAAATCCAAGGGGCTAAGCCCAAATTAATCCTTAGCCCAATATGGGTAATTGGATGCAAAATAAGCTCAATCGGGATAAAAGGAAATTTATAAGAGCCGCCAACACAAGCTACAAGCCACGAATCATGCTAAACAAGCACGTGCAGAAGGAGCCAAGGACATACCGATATTACTAAATCACGCTCACATGCTCATTCGGTGCTACTTGGCCCGACTCTAGCCTATCATGGCATAATAAAACCCCAAGCACGAGCATAGAAATTATGCGCATTCTAATACCAAGCTACGTCACGAGCTTAAGTGGGCCCAAGCCACGAAATCAACCGGGGCTTACTGAGAAGGTTGTGGTATGGAAGGTGACAAGCAATCACGGGGCCCATTGAGGGTTCAAGGAACGTAGGTTTCAAAGCCACTTGGGGGCTTTGGAACTCAAGCCCGTTCCTAGAACCCAAGCATATGGGTTAGCATGAGAGAGAGGAGAAAAATTGACCCATGCTCTAGGAAGACACCAAAGAACCCACCAAAATATTTAGCCCAGCCCACATCAATAGAATTAAAGGGAAAGCCTTTCCAGCAGCTTGACAAAAGCCTGCCAAACGTTAGAAGCAGCAAAGCCAGAGGACCCAATACCATATGTACAAGCCCAAACCCAACAACTTACAAAAATCTGGCGTCAAGTCCTATTCCCGTTTGAATTCCAAACAATGGTCATAAGGGAGCCATGGCAAGACCAGAGGAAATCCATGGGGGTGAGGGAAGTGTCCATCGGACAAAAGGCTCCATCTCTCCCCTTTTCCTCTGTAAGCTCTGCCTTGGAGAAAACATAAGGAAAGCAGGTGGCGCCTTACCCTCTATGGGAAAGCCCAGTTGCGTCAAACCGTTGGAACCATAAAGGGTTTCTTACCCATGCTCCTTGGATGGAGAAATTCATCAAAATAGGGCTAGGTATGAGCTGCCAAGGAAAAAGGAAGAAGAAAACCAGACGAAATTGGAGCTCCTAACGC